TGTGGCCATGATGTAGCCATGTGGCCATGGTGTGGCCATGATGTAGCCATGTGGCCATGGTGTGTCTTGGGACACAGACAGTTTGACTAAGAGGTCGTCTAGTGCCTGACCTCTTAGTGATCTTCCATACGCCTGTTGACCTCAAGTTGACCTAATTTACAGCCCATAGTAACCCGGCATAGTAACTCTAAGGGCCATTAAGGTTATTTTCTATTGGGGATAAACAAGATTATGTTACGTAAATATACAAGTGGTGGTGTTGCACTATCTTGCCTACAGAGACCAACAGCTCAAAAAAGCACCCTAATGTCTCAAGGCAACATAAAGCTACATGATTTAAATTGTACCGACAAGCCGCAGGAGTCTCCGACTTGCGAGTCACTGTGGGTTAGCACTGTACTGCTCCTGGAGGGAGAGAGGAGTAGTTCGAGGCACCGAACAACTTGCTCGCTGCCTTTGTGATGAAAAAACTTTATGGGTTGAAACTATGAGGCTTAGTCGGCTACCTGACAAGGGGGGGGGGGGTGAGGGGGTAATAGAGGGGACAGGGGGGAGATATAGGGGGGGAGGGGAGGGGGGGGTGTTGAGTAGAAGGGGGGGGGATTGGTCAGAATGGGTATAGGGAAAATTTCCTCAGAATGGGTAGAAGTTTGAAGGGGCAAATGGAGAGAAGGTGAGGTATGAGGTGAGGCAGAAGACACTATCACCACCACTGACAGAAGGCTGACAGCAACAAGATATTGAACACGAAGAGGGAGGAGAATCAGAAGACAATGATGAAAAAGAGACGAAAGAACAAAAGACTGTAAAACAGAAAGAGGGAAGAGGAGGAAGATAATAAAAGAGGAAGAGACCAAGTAAGGAAGGAAGGAGTGTGATCCAGTAACTCTACCCCAGGAAACTCTCCGTGAGCGTCTCAGCAAGTTTTAACTAAGCCAGGCCGTCGAGGACCTGATTTCTTCTTAATTGCTTCATTAAAATTGGATTTTGAAATTTGGGCCTTGAAAGCTGGCTCTCTGGAACCTGGGTCTTGGTAATTAAGTCTGGGACACAGTCGTCTAGACTGTGTACTGTGTACCTTCAGCTACTCAGAACGATGTGTCCATGTAGCACGGGCTATGGTGAGCCCGCAACACAGTGTACACAAACAATTATTCTTAAATACTGGCAAATGTGCTCAAGCCACTCGCGAGAAACATCTCACCTCCACATATGTGAAAAGCAGCTTCACTTCACACGACTGGAGGAGAGACGAGGAAGATGAGACATGATCACGACCTACCAGATATTCAGAGGGAAGTAAGTAGTCACAGGAGCCCAAGTGAAGAAGTCGAGTGAATTAAAAGCGTTCACGAACCTACTTCAGGCGATTGAGAGTGTAATCCCAAGCGCTGAAGCCGAGCCTATGCTTGCACAAATAGGCGAGTACTGCTTGGTAAGTACATCCCCTCCCCCCTTCCCCCCCACCGTCCCAGATACACACACCTGAATAGGATGTATCAAAACACCTGAAGGACTTCCAATTCACCCCACACCTGTCCAAAACCTGTGCTGGCCGGGGTCTTTGGGGGTCAGCCGGCCACAGCTCCCATACGAGTCATTTGGGTGACCTTTGTTGACCTGTCAGCTGTGTGACCTTTTGTTGTAGTGTTGAATGGGCCGCTTGTCCCACGGTGAGAACAAGATGACCTCAACAACAGCAGTGTTGGTTGCTGGGGAGTTCAGAATGACTGTATTGCTATATATATGAAATAAAAATAAAAATGAATTTTGGAGAATTGATTTTTCAGTTACCATCAACAGTGAAAAGAAATATAAGAAATATTGAGAAAATTCGTGTTAGAATTATTAATCTTACTTTTTCGGTCATATATAATAATATATATATATGAATGTGGATGTTGAAGGAGTTTATTGCAAACGAACATTAATCTTTATATCAGAATACAAAGATTGAAAATACACGCTGGAATCTGTGGAATCGAACGAGATGTACTGGCTGCTGACGGGGGCTGAAGGAGACCATCTTGAGGTTATCTTGAGATGATTTCGGGGCTTTTAGTGTCCCCGCGGCCCGGTCCTCGACCAGGCCTCCACCCCCAGGAAGCAGCCCGTGACAGCTGACTAACACCCAGGTACCTATTTACTGCTAGGTAACAGGGGTGAAAGAAACATTTTGCCCATTTGTCTCCGCCTCCACTTGGGATCGAACCCGGAACCTCAGGACTACGAATCCGAAGCGCTGTCTACCCAGCTGTCAGGCGCCTCAGGGTGAGAAAAGACTTGGACAAATACCAGCTTGGAAGAGAGTGGTTGATCTATGGAACCAATTACCGGCCAACATAGCAGACGCGGAGGATCGATGGGTTGTGTCAAGCGAAGGACAGACATACACAATGGATATTTGAGTAGATATAAAAGGCAACTGTCTGGTATGGGCCGGTCATAGACCTTTCTCAGTTTCCTTAATTCTTATGTTATCCACTTTGTCTCACACCAGTGGTCTCTCCCCCCCCCCACACATTCTGGGGGTCACCCCAGTCCCTGGGGGTCTCTGCCCCCACTCCCTGGGGTCTCGCTAACAAATGGGGTCGTGTCCACGTGTGTGTGGTCAATACCTGCTGAGGAATAGGACTTGTGCATCCCAAGTGGCCCGGCTCACCAAGCAGTCAACGTCAAATCGACTTTTAAAATGATCGTATCTCAATTTTTCTTATGGAGAGCTTTGACCAGCAAGAGTTTTGTGGAAGTTTCACTGTGTGACTGTGTGTGTCTGGCCCTGACGGTCCTGCCTCAGTCCTCTCTAGAGAGAGAGAGAGAGAGAGAGAGAGAGAGAGAGAGAGAGAGAGAGAGAGAGAGAGAGAGAGAGAGAGAGAGAGAGAGAGAGAGACAGTAATCCCTCCCCACACACCGCGTGGTCACACAGGCGGCGTCTGAGATAAACAGCTTAACCGTATCGATGTTTTCCACCCCAAGACTTCAGGTTAAATGATGCGCTCAGGTGGTTAGGGGGGGGGGAGGGGCGCAGTGTGGTGGACCACGTTGGGGACCGCAGATTGGTCAGCGTCACTCATCCTGTGAGTGGACACACCGCCTTTCATCATTGGCATCTCGTGAATATGAATCGTACTCATCCACCGAGGGAGATAACACACAGCCTTATAGCCACCAACCCACACAAGTGTTCAAGCTGATGAAGGTCTTCAATAAAGCATATTAATTGAACTAGTCACTTTGAGCTGTGTATTTGACCTCTTATAATTAGTGCACAACTCGGTGTTGTCTTGGCAATGACCTTGTAGTGGGGATCTCTGACAATCTCAGTTCCTTGAGCCTGTTCTTAGCACTTCATGTCGTAGATGTTATGCTTTGGTTCATTTTGCTGCTCCAAGAACTGTTGTCGTGGCTGTATTGTGTACGCTTTCCAAGTGCTGTGATGCTACACGCAGAAATCACAATAGCCTGATGCATCAAATGAACAAATCCACAAGGGCCGTGACGTCACGATTCGTCATGTAATTACGAAGCAATAAGATGCTTATCTTAACATAAGAAGGTTAGGTAAGGTCGGTGTTTTCTATGAACCTTTTCAAGGTAAACTAGTATGTTTAGTATGTCACATATGCACGTATTTAATAAGTCAATATTGACTATACGAAAGTGCGAGAACGGGTTATTGAATGTTATAATCATTCATCCATTTTTTTTTACTTCAGTAATGTAAGCCCTTAACTCCTTGCCTTTCTTCGTAAGGAAGACATCTGATTGCTGAGATTAACTTTGTAATCCTTCTTAGTACGCGTTCAAGTGAACTGGTGTCCAATCTATGGTCTGGTGACACTCAACACCACACTCTAAATGGCCCACTAACAAGGGCAAGAGAAAGCTGAAGGATAACAGTAGATATGAACAAATCCACAAGGGCCGTGACGAGGATTCGAACCTGCGTCCGGGAGCATCTCAGACACTGCCTTAATGCTCCCGGACGCAGGTTCGAATCCTCGTCACGGCCCTTGTGGATTTGTTCATTTGATGCATCACGTTAGTGTGATCTCTGTGTGTGGAACAGTAGATATCTTGATGCTAACGCTTCTAGAAATATATCCCACTATCCTACTTCCCTTGTCCCATACGGGACTATGTAATACATGGAATGGTGAGAGAGTGGGATGGGAAGGGAGGGAGATGATGAAGGAACAGGGATTAGAGTGAAAATACATTGTTGTGGTGAGTGGGGGAGAGTGGGGGAGAGGGGGGAGTGTGGGGGAGAGTGGGGTAGGTAGACAGACTGCTACAGGTGGACTACAAATGGTATTGTCGAGGAAGACACGATTCTCTGGGAACTATTATTTGGCTTTGTTACCTTTTTACCTTTTTGCTGGTGCTGCCCAAGCTGCTCCAGCATCTAGTGCTGGGAGGCTTCACGCAGGTGAGGAGTCAGGAAATACAATTTTCTGACGTTAATTATTAATACTGTTGGGCAATTTTCTAGTTCGGTTTATCGTAAGCCTACAGTCACGAACTTACGTTCACGTTATCTAAGTTTATGTCCTAAAGTTTTTAAGTTTAATAAATTTGTTTAAATAGATCTTTTAATCTTTGTTCCAATGATAAATTATTAATAATTTTATTAATAATTTATCGCACGAGTTCTTTCAAATAAATGTTTTTCCAAGCAAAATATTTCAAGGAATTTTGAAAAAATTCTTAAATACTAAATTCTAACCTATCGTTAAAATTCCCAAACATTCGCTGAAGACATTTCATTCCGTCAAATTTCCGTGTTAGTGTACAGACAGTTGTCATATTAGCACGGAACCTGTAAATGTTCGTAAGACACTCCTCTCCACCACGAATTACAATTCAGCGTGTTTACCAATCATCAAACTACCGAATATTATGTAAAACATATCAATCCTTTTCGCCCTTTTGAGCTCAGATCTGCATTTGTTTACCTTTTGGCTACGGAGGACACGATACCTCGAGCGCCGTAGCCGTGAGGACACGATACCTCGAGCGCCGTAGCCGTGAGGACACGATACCTCGAGCGCCGTAGCCACGAGGACACGCCGACCTTGTCGGACTTGCTGGTCCCCTCAAGTCAGGTGCTCCTGGAGGTCACTGGGGAAGAAATGGGTCACCGTCTCATAGCGATTTCACTGTACTGATTTCCATCCCCACGTCCACTGGCTCTGAATGTGTTGAACTGTGTCTGTGTGGCGGGAATCAGACCCCAGGAGGACTCGGACAAGTTCGAGCTCTTGATTCACTGGTTCACTCACCCGCTTACGTCTGCTACGAGTATGTTGTTCGGTGATTTGTGGGTTTTTTATTGTATATTTTGTATATTATTTGCTTTTTACTTTGTATTGTGACTTGTATTGAGTGTATTGTGCTACACTCACACAATGTGTGTGTGTTCGAGCAGCGAGGGAGAGTGCCGGGGCGGAGGTGAGTCAGTTACTCATCTGCATGATAAGGAGAAGCAGCTCCGGGCTGGTGGAAAATGGATCTTCACTCACTGGAAACCCATTACAAGGCGGCCCCTCACCCCCCGCCACCCTCACACCTCGGGGACGGTGAGGTAATGAGTCCCGCGCCGGGGTGACTGAGCCCTCATGCCTCCCTCACGAGTCATCTCGAGATAATATTAACTCTTCGAAGCAACACTCAAGTTATGAGACAACACTCAAGTTATGAGACAACACTCAAGTTATGAGGCAACACTCAAGTTATGAGACAACACTCAAGTTATGAGACAACACTCAAGTTATGAGACAACACTCAAGTTATGAGACAACACTCAAGTTATGAGACAACACTCAAGTTATGAGACAACACTCAAGTTATGAGACAACACTCAAGTTATGAGACAACACTCAAGTTATGAGACAACACTCAAGTTATGAGACAACACTCAAGTTATGAGACAACACTCAAGTTATGAGACAACACTCAAGTTATGAGGCAACACTCAAGTTATGAGACAAACTCATGAGACAACGCCCCATATAAGCGTGACAGCCACGGGAGTTCTGTGACAAATAGAAAAGATTTTCAAGCTCTCACAGCGTGACGCATGAGAGAGAGAGAGAGGAGAGAGAGAGAAAGGGAGAGACATTCCCCGACTCACCACCAAACTCATTACACTGATCACAGGCAGTGTACTCATCCAGTATTCATCATATACTAACTTCGCGAGATGAGTGAAAGGGGGCTTTTACAATCAGCTGTAATGTGTCTTTGTCTATCACTTGCGCCTCCAGGTGTAATGTCCGGATAACCCAACACGGGTACAGGAGGTACACACACATCTGGATAATTACATCTCAGTTTGAACCCTAAATTCTCTCTGTTATCATTTCTGTCACATCAGATGGTTAATTAGAACTTAATTTACTGTGGTGAACAAATCCACAAGGGCCGTGACGAGGATTCGAACCTACGTCCGAGAGGATTCCCAGACGCTGCCTTAATGGACTGAGTTACGACATGGCTACTGTGGTGGAGGTTCTAGGGCCAGATTCACGAAACAGTTACGCAAGTACTTACGAACCTGTACATCTTTCCTCAATCTTTGACGGCTTTGGTTACATTTATTAAACAGTTTACAAGCGTGAAAACTTCCCCAAATCAACTGTTGTTATTGTTATAAACAGCCTCCTGGTGCTTCGGAGCTCATTAACTGTTCAATAATTGTAAACAAAGCCGCCAAAGACTGCGGAAAGATGTACACGTTCGTAAGTACTTGCGTAACTGTTTCGTGAATCTGGTCCCTGTGGGACAGTAGTAGTTTAGAGTTACCAGTCACTTGTAGGCTATTTTTACCCCAGCCGTCTGAAGGAGACCTCATACCGCCTGTTAGGGCTTGAGTGGGGCGGTATCGGTTAGGTAATGGGGCGGAGAGCTGGCGTCCCACCACCCATTTAACCTCTATTACCAGTCCGGCCACTTGGCCTAGTCGGTACAGCGATACGGGCATGCTGCTTACTGAGTCGGCGTCCGATTCCCCCGAAGTTTTGAGTGGTTGGGCGGTCTTGTGTCGCTACGTGGGGGGATATTGCTTTCTGAGTGGTGTGTAGCCTGGTTTATGGGTGGTGTGTAGCCTGGTTTATGAGTGGTGTGTAGCCTGGTTTATGAGTGGTGTGTAGCCTGGTTTATGGGGGGTGTGTAGCCTGGTTTATGAGTGGTGTGTAGCCTGGTTTATGGGTGGTGTGTAGCCTGGTTTATGAGTGGTGTGTAGCCTGGTTTATGAGTGGTGTGTAGCCTGGTTTATGGGGGGGGTGTAGCCTGGTTTATGGGGGGTGTGTAGCCTGGTTTATGGGGGGTGTGTAGCCTGGTTTATGAGTGGTGTGTAGCCTGGTTTATGGGTGGTGTGTAGCCTGGTTTATGGGTGGTGTGTAGCCTGGTTTATGAGTGGTGTGTAGCCTGGTTTATGGGTGGTGTGTAGCCTGGTTTATGAGTGGTGTGTAGCCTGGTTTATGAGTGGAGTGTAGCCTGGTTTATAAGTGGTGTGTAGCCTGGTTTATGGGGGGTGTGTAGCCTGGTTTATGGGGGGTGTGTAGCCTGGTTTATGGGTGGTGTGTAGCCTGGTTTATGAGTGGTGTGTAGCCTGGTTTATGAGTGGTGTGTAGCCTGGTTTATGAGTGGTGTGTAGCCTGGTTTATGAGTGGTGTGTAGCCTGGTTTATGAGTGGTGTGTAGCCTGGTTTATGGAGGGTGTGTAGCCTGGTTTATGAGTGGTGTGTAGCCTGGTTTATGGGGGGTGTGTAGCCTGGTTTATGGGGGGTGTGTAGCCTGGTTTATGAGTGGTGTGTAGCCTGGTTTATGGGTGGTGTGTAGCCTGGTTTATGGGGGGTGTGTAGCCTGGTTTATGAGTGGTGTGTAGCCTGGTTTATGGGGGGTGTGTAGCCTGGTTTATGAGTGGTATGTAGCCTGGTTTATGGGTGGTGTGTAGCCTGGTTTATGGGGGGTGTGTAGCCTGGTTTATGAGTGGTGTGTAGCCTGGTTTATGAGTGGTGTGTAGCTTGGTTTATGGGTGGTGTATAGCCTGGTTTATGAGTGGTGTGTAGCCTGGTTTATGGGGGGGGTGTAGCCTGGTTTATGAGTGGTGTGTAGCCTGGTTTATGTGTGGTGTGTAGCCTGGTTTATGGGGGGTGTGTAGCCTGGTTTATGAGTGGTGTGTAGCCTGGTTTATGGGGGGTGTGTAGCCTGGTTTATGAGTGGTATGTAGCCTGGTTTATGGGTGGTGTGTAGCCTGGTTTATGGGGGGTGTGTAGCCTGGTTTATGAGTGGTGTGTAGCCTGGTTTATGAGTGGTGTGTAGCTTGGTTTATGGGTGGTGTATAGCCTGGTTTATGAGTGGTGTGTAGCCTGGTTTATGGGGGGGGTGTAGCCTGGTTTATGAGTGGTGTGTAGCCTGGTTTATGGGGGGTGTGTAGCCTGCTTTCTGAGTGGTGTGTAGCCAAACTGGCTTAGTGCTTCCTGTTGATAATTGTCCCAGCTCACGCGCGCGCCAAGCTGCATCCGCGTGCCTGCGGCTTGTCACCAGTCCCTACTGCCCCTGATGTGAGCGATAGGACGAACGCAAGTAGGAAATATGCTTGGCTGCTTCTGAGAAGACATATACACTCAGAGTGTATGACACTGCTTGTATACATACATTGAACGCTTGCTTTAGGTCAATGATAAGGGCAAAATATACATGTTGCTTGGTCAGTAAAGCCTTAATAACATACTTTGTACATTATTAGTTATCTTACCTTTTGCCAGTTTCGAGAGTTCTTGTATTACAGCAACAAAGTCCGAAGCCAGATTTTATTGGTGATAACTTGACCGGTTACACTGTTGTTGGTCGCGGCCTGCAGGTCTACATAGCAATCAAAACCCAGCAGAGAAATAATGCACTTCCTTTAGGAATCTTAATTCCATCTTGCAAAATTCAGCATTTGTTCCAGCAATATTTCAATTGGATGCATGAAAGTTTAAAAGTTATGAGTCTTGGTTGTTCATACATTGTTCTCTGTATGTGCTCATGGTACATGTTGTATGTGCTCATGGTACATGTTGTATGTGCTCATGGTACATGTTGTATGTGCTCATGTTACATGTTGTATGTGCTCATGGTACATGTTGTATGTGCTCATGGTACATGTTGTATGTGCTCATGTTACATGTTGTATGTGCTCATGGTACATGTTGTATGTGCTCATGTTACATGTTGTATGTGCTCATGGTACATGTTGTATGTGCTCATGGTACATGTTGTATGTGCTCATGGTACATGTTGTATGTGCTCATGGTACATGTTGTATGTGCTCATGGTACATGTTGTATGTGCTCATGGTACATGTTGTATGTGCTCATGGTACATGTTGTATGTGCTCATGGTACATATACACTTCACTAAGCCTATTCTACACAAGCTGAAATATTACTCGCACCAATACAGCTCTATTTTGCAAGTTTAGGACGCATACATTGTGTGTGAATGCAGTATCTAATATTTTTGTGGATATACGAAACAAAATTTTTGCAAAAATGAATTTTATTTACAAATATATCAATAAGTTTTCTTGGAAAACATGGGTGATATGTTACGTTCTGCTTCATACCACACACCTGTCACAGGTGCTCGTGCATGTGTGTGTCCCACATGTGTAACGTGAGTCACACTCATGGGTCAACATGTATACGGCTGCACAACAAGGTATATACATGTAAGCATGTGTGTGTATATATATACATGTACCGTATAATATATGCCTCCATATGTTATGTATGTGCACTCATGTACACTCGAAGCTATACATGTTACACATGTGCATCTTGATATGTACACATGTAATAAGGTATGTGCAATCATTTGTACATGGATGACAGCTATATATGTACACATTTGCATGTAGGCAGGTTTACACGTGATGAAACATATGCACATGTACACAAACATGTGTACATGTGCACATCATGTACACAGAAAAGTGAAGGCCTACACACGGTCGACAGCCACAGATATACATTTATATAAGTTAAATAAATAGAATCTGATAGACTTAGTTTTGATAAATATCTTGTGTAGCAGAGGTAATTCTCACTCTAATGGTATGCAGCGTGAGAGAGAGAGAGAGAGAGAGAGAGAGAGAGAGAGAGAGAGAGAGAGAGAGAGAGAGAGAGAGAGAGAGAGAGAGAGAGAGAGAGAGAGAGAGAGAGAGAGAGAGAGACAGAGACAGAGAGAGCACACATTAAAAGATCCACAAAGTGTGTAATATCTCAGCTGCTATGAACAACGGCACTCAAGTCAACTAATAATTACGTCAAACCAATCAATATTTACAGGTGTGTGAGCTTGGTCGCCTGGCCAGATAGTTAAGAGAGAGCTATATACACTACCTAATCTAGCAAGCCAAAGAGTAAGTAACTAATTGCCTTGTTGGCCCGATATAATAATACATAATTTTCAGCTATATACATGAGGACTATATGACACTATGTCTCAATATATATGAGATTATGCACATTATATATATGCATCTAGAGCCATAGATGCATATATTGATCACTATAATGCCCACTTCGTTATAACTATATACATCACAACACAATGATACATATGGTTCGTTCCTGGAGTGTGAACTGCTTGTCAAGACACATACACACACTTCCATGTTCACTTTTGAACGGTTATTATGCAGGAATTATGTATCCAATTACACTGAGGGAGACACTGGTGGATTACTGCGAGGCAGGTGTGTGTGTGACGAACACCTTTGTGACACCGACCAGTCATGTGTGTGTGTGTGTGTGTAAGTGTGTAAGTGTTGTCAACACCCTGGAAGAAGCCTCCTGAGGCAACACTACACAAAAATACAGAATCTTGAAATATAATTTGAAGTCATAAATTCACACAGGATCTCAGGTCTTTAGCTGGACAGTTTATTGGTAGTTTCCGTGTCACATGTTTCGTGTCACATGTTTCGTGTCACATGTTTCGTGTCACATGTTCCGTGTCACATGTTCCGTGTCACATGTTTCGTGCCACATGTTTCGTGCCACATGTTTCGTGCCACATGTTTCGTGCCACATGTTTCGTGCCACATGTGTCAGCGTTCATGACGAGAGCGAAGATTGAATTATATTTGCTTCTCCTATTTTTCGGCCTCGTAATTTCTATTTCATGCAATATTGGATTTAAAATTGTAATCTATATTCTTAGTGTGAAGTTTATTGCCAATGTTGTGAAGAAGTTTGAGCGGTCGTTATCAAGGCGTTAGCCGGGGCCATGTCCACTTACAACTGGAGCACCGTTACCAAATTTCTTATTGAATTGAAGACTTCATGGCTTTTTGGCGAATTAACAATTGTTCGATACAAATCACTCCTCGTCACTGGAGATAGTCGAGCGTGTAGCCGAGGTTCTTACGCTGGAGAAACATGAGGATCTCCCAGAAGGGAGGTCGCTGGCGATCGTTTGGTCTCCAGCAGGCGGTCATCATCTCGTACAGGTCACGGGGGCAGAGTGGTGGCTGAGGCAGCACTATCATGCCCGACCCGTCGCCGTGGTAGCAGTGGGCTACGTTCTCCAAGACACCATCGTCGCTCAGTTCGTCGTAAGGCTGGCGGCGACCCATCATTAAAATCTCCCACAACGTCACTCCGAACGCCCACACGTCGCTCTTGGTAGAAAACCGTCCCTGCAGGATCGACTCCCACGCCATCCATCTGATGGGCAGGAGAGCGCGGCTGCCACTCAGACGGTAATAGTCGCTGGTGTATAAAGGTCTACTCATTCCGAAGTCTGTAATCTTGAGAGTGAGTCCGCTGCCGACTAGACAGTTCCGTGTCGCCAGGTCTCGGTGGACGACGTTGAGTGCCTCCAGGTACTTCATCCCTGATGCGATCTGCGTCACAATATATATAAGTGCACCGTAGCTTAAGACTGGTGGCTCACTTATCGTTGCAGAAGTCGTAGTGAACGGAAGAGTGGATACACCTTCCGTCAAGTGTACACGAAGGAACTGGTAAAGGTCGCCGTAGTCCGTGTACTCCAGCAACACACAGAGCGGCTCAGAAGTACTCACAACACCCAGCACCTTCACAATGTTTGGGTTATCAACTCGGCTAAGAAGGCGACACTCTTTTCTAAAGTCATCTTTGGCACCTTCACTTGCACCAACTTTTAAACTTTTCATGGCCAATCTCCGACACCCGACCCCAGCAGCATCCTTCACCTCACACAGCTGCACCACACCAAACACTCCTTCCCCCAAGTTTTCCACAACACGAATATGAGTTCGAGGCACCTCTGGCACCCTGCGATCCTTACCAAGGCCGGTGTCATCCGCCACAGCATAAATGACAGTTCCTGTCACGCCTTGAATGTTTGAGGGCTGACACAAGAGCGGCGCAGTGTAGTACTCTTGATCAGGAGGTGGGGGAAGAGTCGGGACAGGCGGAACCAGAGGCGGGTCTCTGAGACCGCACACTGTAGGCAAGGTTGCCGGGGGTTGCGTCAGTGGTACGGGCGGAGGTGGAGCATAAACCTCAGAAAATGGCGGAGGCGGCGTCATGTTTACATCCGGGATGGCGTAGTCTACAGAATCATCGGTGTCGGTGGGTAGCGGACACTTGAGCGGCATCTCTGAGGTCGTGACGGTGTGTCCCAGCGTGTAGTAGCCTGGGTTGTGTATGGGTCCCTTAAAGGGTTCCTGGTACATGGCTGTAGTCTCCTCGTCCATCGTCACATGCCCGTACAACTTTCCCTTCGCCTTAGCATATCCATTGGATACAGGCGAAAGATTTACATTGATGTGCAAATCTTTCATTTTCATGGAAACCTTTCTGGAGTCCATGCCAGTTTCGGAAGATAATGGCGATTTCTTATTGGACTTCCTTGAGAGCCACTTGTGGTAATACTTTACCCCGAGGGCCACAGGCAACATGCCAAATATTAAGGCAAGACATATGACGCCGCCCAGCAGTAGAGCCGGAGTCTCTTGGGCCGGGACCACGTGGGTGCGCTCTTCTACAAATCTCTCCTCATTCATCTTCTCAGTTGCCACGGGCGCCATAATCTCCTCCTCCGTCAAGTTGCAGTGACATGGAACTGGAAGGAGGCAACGATAAGAGAATATTAGTGACGTTTCTTCAATGAACTGCTGTTAACATGTAATCAATCACCTAGTTGTTGTACCCATCTAGTTGTACTTGCGGGGGGGTTGAGCTTTGGCTCTTTGGTCCCCGCCTCTCAACTGTCAATCAACAGGTGTACAGGTTCCTGAGCCTACTGGGCTCTATCATATCTACACTTGATACTGTATATGGAGTCAGCCTCCACCACATCACTGCCTAATGCAGTGACGAGCTAATGTGACGTACAGTGACTGGATATACTGTTTGACAATGGTACTTATTTGCTTGAGGGTCAACTTAACCTTAATTCTTACCCGAATCGAACGAGACTTCGGAGATCATGATCCACTTGAGGGCGAAGTAGAGCTCCAACTTGACGTACTTGGCCACGGCGTTACGGAGTCTGATAGTGACGTTCCGAGCGTTCTCAAAGATGCGGTCGACCATGTACTCGTACTCCACCGCGGCCTGGGAGTGGAAGCGCTCTCCTCCCACGCTGAACAGCACCCGTGCATGGGAGAACACCTGCACAGTACACAAACACACCTCTGAGCCGCTGCACATGTGCGCTTACAAAACAGTAAAAACAAAAAAAAAGCGTAATACACCTATATTAATGTTTGTAATACACAGATTTATTGTACTTTATAACCTGCTGATATGTTGTATTTTGATATTAAGTATGTGTTAACAATTGTTAATACATGTTACCTAAATACTCAATGTGTATTCTAAATAATTTGTTGTGCACAAGACAGCAAAGTTGGCGACAATGATTGTCTTTTGCTACTCTGCATTGTAAGAATTTTCATTATTTACAATATTCATTCTTCTTTTCAAATCTTAATCACATCGCAATGAACAAAAGTGTGTAGTATAGTGTATACATCGCAATGTTTATATTTGTTCTTATAGGAATTACATGTAGACGAAGATGTTCATGAGAGAGTTAAGACCCTTAATATATATATACATTGTTAGTGAAGCTAATTAACCAGTTGACCAAACCACACAGAAATTGAAGAAATTGAAAGAGAAATTGAAGAGACGACGACGTTTCGACTTGAGAATGGTCCAGGACGGACCGAAACGTCGTCGTCTCTTCAATTTCTAGTGTGTGGTTTGGTCAACATATTTCAGCCACGTTATTGTGACTCCTCGTCTCCAATTAGCCAGTTGACTTACCTGAGCGTCCTTAGTGAAGAGATTGTTGGCGTAGATGTGAACGGCGGAGAGGTTCCTGATGGAGTCGAACTGAAAGGTGATCTCGACTGGCTGGCCGTGTCGAGTCGTGTTCTTCCAGCCAATCCACTCATATCCTGCAAGCAGAAATTACTTTCTCCGTCACATAAACAGGAACACTGTTTTAATAACACTATAACGGGCTGGCTTCCTGTCACATGACGGGACATAATCTATTTACGTACCAATAACCCAGTTTTAAAATTAATATTTTGTTATATGTATTCGTAATACAGTCTACATATGGTGACACATAACATTAATATCCACATCAAAAACTGTTCGTGTAACGCAACATTATACTATCACAAGTTATAACACTAAAGTGAAGAATATCAGGAATTGAACTCGGATTAAAAAAAATTAATGACGTTCATTTCCGTGACCTCAGGTGTGAAGGTCATGACCCCTAAAGGTCAATATAGCGAGGCAGGCGGTGAGTGAGGCCGCCTCAGGTCACTAACTTTCCTGACCCGCGGGACAATGACCCAATATTACTCACGTTAAACCCACCATGTTGAATTGCTGTACAAAAAAAATTCACAATACATAGACGCGAGTTATTTAGGTAGGTGCTATGTGTGTGTATGTGTGTGTGTGTGTGTGTGTATGTGTGTGTGTGTGTGTGTGTGTGTGTGTGTGTGTGTGTGTGTGTGTGTGTGTGTACTCACCTAGTTGTGTTTGCGGGGGTTGAGCTCTGGCTCTTTGGTCCCGCCTCTCAACCGTCAATCAACAGGTGTACTCACCTAATACACACAGGTGTGTGTGTGTGTGTGTGTGTGTGTGTGTGTGTGTGTGTGTGTGTGTGTGTGTGTGTGTGTGTGTGTGTGTGTGTGTGTGTGTGTAGCTTGATCAGCCAGGTTAAGCACTGCCATATCTGGCCAGCAACTGGACGAGTGACCTTAAGAACAACCTCGCTACTAATAAATCGAACCTCGAGAAACCTAAACGTCTCCCACAGCTCCGACAATGATAAACCAGTTTACCAGAGAATCCAACAATTACTCCAAGCTTCACTCACCTCTTCCCATGCCCAGGGCGTCCACTCTGAAGTTAGTGTGACCCATCTCCCCGTCAGTCAGCTGACCCAGGCCCCCGGAGAGGAACCCGTCCATGCGCGTCCCGTCGTACGTCAGGTCGGTCAGAGCCGCGTCGCCGCCCCTCGGGTCTCCGTCCGGCATACTGTACGACACAATGCCCTCTGCTCCACCCGACAACATAGTGGATTTGAGAACAGTTAAATAATGCATATAGGTGCACATATTATATATATATGTTTATGTTTTCTAAATTCCTTCTTTATTATAAACATAAAAAATGTTGAGTTGATCTAATTTTTTCATGTTTAATAACGCACTTTTTATACATATCATTTGTACATTGGGAGGAGTGAGAGAGAGAGAGAGAGAGAGAGAGAGAGAGAGAGAGAGAGAGAGAGAGAGAGAGAGAGAGAGAGAGAGAGAGAGAGAGAGAGAGAGAGAGAGAGAGAGAGAGAGAGAGAGAGAGAGAGAGAGAGAGAGAGAGAGAGAGAGAGAGAGAGAGAGAGAGAGAGAGAGAGAGAGAGAGAGAGAGAGAGAGAAAGAGTGAGTGAGTGTGTACTCACCTGAGTACTGGCAGCCGTAGAGCTCAACCCTCATACAGACGGTCCTGGGGTGGTCGCTATAGGGCAGGAACCTGACCCTGGCCGCTATGACGGGTGGACTCAGCTGCGAGGTCTTGGCCAGGTACGTGTTGGTGTTGCCCTCCAACAGCTGCAGGAGAGAGAGACAGGTGAGTCCTCACATGCTTTCACTGATCACCTGTTTACCAACAGATAAACAGGTATTTACCGTTGTTTTGATTGACAAAGAGTTATCAACGACCGTGTACAGTTTCCTCGTTGTTTAATCCCACGTGTCACCATTCTGTTGTCACCTTAAGCTGTGTTGCCCGAGACTTATAGAAGCATGTCAAGCAACGTTAACGGTTCCTGTTATCGTGAGACACACTCACGGAGGCGTGATGCTGAGGACAGGCTTAGAGAGGCGCTTGTCACGCGAGGGCTACTCGCTGAGGTTGTCATGTCATGTCATCAAACAACGCTGGTCGGTTAAATCATGGCTGGCAGGTTAATCCAAGGGTGACGGGTTTAACGAGGGGGTGGCGGGTTAAATCTGACTGAAAACTTTACTATGATAACGAGATAACATTGAGTATATTCCCAAATTTACTCAAAAATAAATGCCAAATCTTGTAAAGAGTACGTAGAATCATAGATGTTAATAACAGAATTCTCTGCAAATATAATGTTCTCTGTAAACAGAACTATGTTCTGTGTACAGTAAAATGTTAACAATAAAAAATATAATTTTTTTTTATAAATATAGCTATTTTGTTAACTATATAAAAATATTGATTGTACTATAAACAGTACAACCAATGTTCTGTGCTCCTGACCTTCAAGGTAACAAGCATCTAACTATTGAACTTGACGAGAAAGAAGCACTCTGTGTATGTGTTCACATAATGTTCAACATGGCTACATGTTGAACATTATGTTCAACATGGCCACCCAGGCTTGTAGCCACAGTCCTCACCTCTTGGCCACGACCGTCAGTAAAGGTGACCCAGTGGTCGAGTCCCGGCCGCCAGAGCTGCAGCTTGTAGTGCCTCGCGAACTCCTTCCCCTGGCCGTTACCGAACCTGCCCTGGACCTCCACCTTGGTAATGACGTGAAGAACCCCGAGGTCCACCTCCAGGAACTCTTGCCCTTCTCCGTGGATCATCTCCCGAGGGCACCAGGCTCCGCCTCCGGCCTCCACATGGGCTCTGTGAAGACACAGGATTAGAATTTTGGTTATTAAAAATCAGACAAAAGTGTAAACAATGAGTTACGGGAGAGGTGTTACCGGGAGCTATCGTACGAGACAAGGTGTTGACGCACACCCAAAACAGCGCGTCTACGGGAGCTATCGTACGAGGTACGGTGTTGACGCACCCAAAACAGCGCGTCCACCTTCTGTTTCTCTCAAGTTCACGTCTTAAATAACATATATAACCAAAATAAATTACCCCAAGAGGAAAAATGTGAACACCAACGCCAGGAGAGCGTTGTTTCCGTCTCACCTGCCGTAGACGGCGTTGACAGCGGCGTCGAAGTATGAGGACGCTGAGAGCCGCTCGTCAGGGATGGCGAAGGACTGCATGCCCAGGGCGGCTTCGCACTGACCTGAGGATGAAGGGCGGCACCAGGTTACTTCCACACGCTATACCCGTCAGCAAAACACGCTAGATACCCGCTACAACCCATCAAAACACGCTAGATACCCGCTACAACCCATCAAAACACGCTAGATACCCGCTACAACCCAGCAAAACACGCTAGATACTCGCTACAATCCAGCAAAACACGCTAGATACCCGCTACAATCCAGCAAAACACGCTAGATACCCGCTACAATCCAGCAAAACACGCTAGATACCCTCTACAACCCAGCAAAACAAGCTAGATACCCGCTACAACCCAGCAAAACACGCTAGATACCCTCTACAACCCAGCAAAACAAGCTAGATACCCGCTACAACACTACAACTATAGTTGTAGTGAATGGTCCAACTGTAGCGCTACAGTTGGCGCTACAACTCGGCAACACTTGCCAAACGTAGCGGCCCGCATTCTCGTGTAAACAAAGGTGGCAATACGGCCACACACACACACATGGAGGAGATATAAACTAGACACTAAAGCTCCTGAGATGTCTTAACTTCGCGAGGAAGGAAGTAAAGCAGCGTGTTACATCGTCCCACCGGTAGGAATAATGTCATACATCAAGTATGTTTATTGAGACAAGAAAGAAATACATCTCAAAGGGATAGAGTAGTTTAGGCTATTTCTACCCTCCCTTACATCATTACTGCTTTGGAGACAGGGCTGAAGACACGAATTACTTTGGATGAATTGTGAGGATATTCTTAATAACACGGGAGTGGATAAATTGCTAAGGCTTCAGGTACCTCATACTGGCAGGTGTTAAGGCTCCAGGTACCTCATACTGGTAGGTGTTAAGGCTCCAGGTACCTCATACTGGCAGGTGTTAAGGCTCCAGGTACCTCATACTGGCAGATGTTAAGGCTCCAGGTACCTCATACCAGCAGGTGTTAAGGCTCCAGGTACCTCATACAGGCAGGTGTTAAGGCTCCAGGTACCTCATACCAGCAGGTGAGGTCTAATGACTGGACATACAATAATATGTGAAGGATCATGCCCCAGGTCCTGCCCACAGCCTGCATGTGTCAGCACTCAGGACTGGTAAACACATCCTCCAGAGTGGCCAGTACCTGCAGGTATCGTGGACGGTACCATCATTCTTGGAAGACAAGATGGCGTCTGGGAAGACACTAACAGCCGTTACCTGCCACAGGTAATGATGCCCCCAATTTGGGCCTGGCAATTACCGTCGCCCTGGCTAATGGATCTTTAGTGTTAACTATATACAGGCATCAGCTTTTAAACATATTTTGCTTAAAACTGTAAGTTCAAGTCTTAGGGCGTGTTTTCTCTGCCTGTCAGACCTTAGTGTTCGGAACAGTATAGGTGAGACGAGAACATCTTCTTGCTATTTGTCTGTCTTGTTGATGAGTTATGTTTGTGTGAGATGGTATCCATACGGTGCATACGGTACTTGGACGGAGGGTGTGTAGATAAGCTGGGATGCCAGTGATAGTTGCATTTAAAAGTTATGTTCAGTTTGATAAAGTTAGAAATTTTTACTCAGATGGAATTCAAAGACAGCGTGTTGGCAACACTCTCTGGCCTATCGGACGCATGAAATAATTCATCTCTGAGACGCGCCGAAGAGGCTACATCTCAGACGACTGATACGAAAGGTCGTATTGACTACTGTTCTTACTACTACTATTATTACTACTACTACTACACAATGTGGAGAAACTTATTATAATACTGTAGTGTACTAAAAAGTGAAGGAAAGACCAAAAATATGTGTAAGTGTATTAATTAACCAAATTTTCGAGGGTAGCCTACATATTTTTTTTCAGGGTACCGTGTACAGTGTTCAACACAGTATACGGTACGCTGAAAAAGTAGATTACATCCGAAAATTAGATTTTTAATACATTCATATATTGGGTATTTCCTCCACTTTTATTACACACAGTTTTACCATTATATATTAACACAAACTTAATACTATATGCTTTTCAATTTACGTATGCAAATGTTTGATTTACAGTGATGTGCAGTCCAACCAGAACTGTTTCCATTGTCTTAAGTTATGAATAGTTTCTGTGTGTCTGTGTGTCTGTCCGGAGAACGTCACTTTCCCGAAAGTGTCTTACTGAGCGACCAGAACACCTGTATCACGTTACTCAGGCTCAGAGCATCACAGGTGTACGAAGCCTCGCTAGGGAGCTAAACCCCATGTCTCTTTCCCTCAATCACTTGAACCAACCAGTCAGCGACGAGCATGTTATAAGAGACAGGTGCTAGATCCCCCCCACACACACAGCCGTGAAGCCAGTTGCATAAATCACTATGGACATTTCTTGCCAGTAAAGTTAATCACATGACAAGCGGATTGGAATACCGCGTCATGGTCCACAAGCCAATTAATTACCCTAAACACACGGTGAAAAAGTAAGAGTCTCATTAACCGTGGCGCCAGAAGCCTGCCTGGGATGCCAGCATTGGTAACGAGAGCTGTAGAGGCTGCTGGCGACACTGGCCTCGTTCACACGTGGCTGCTAGTTAACTCTACAGGTTGTTCAAGGTGTTGTGACTGTAGGACGAACCTCTTCAACTCAAGCTTTTGTAGATGTCTTTTCTGCGGAACTGTGTCAAGGAAGTTCTGGTAGTCCCTAAATCCCCAGTCTGCCCAACCGTCTCTGTCTTGTGTGTAATTTGTGTAGCTTTATCATAGAACTTCAAAAGGTTCGTTAGGCATGATTCTCCTTATCTAAAACCATGTTGGAGGCTGTTTACATGCCTGTGTCTTTTGAGGTGTTTAACTTGTCTTATACATTATTCCTTAGAGTACCTCGCATAGGATGTTTGGGAGTGACACTGATCTGTAGTTGAGTGACACTGGTCTGTAGTTGAGTGACACTGGTCTGTAGTTGAGTGACACTGGACTGTAGTCGAGTGACACTGGTCCGAATCCTGTAGTCAGTCCCACTCACTAGGATTTACCAATATTGTAGGTCACAGTGGAAAATTTGTGGGATTATTTCCCATGCATCTCTGGAGGACCCGGTCAGATGGTCAACCTGACCAACTCAAACTTCTAATTCTTCAGTATTACGATCGCCTGTATATTATATATATACCATTCTCAAGTCGATTGTGAATGCTTCTCACAATCGACTTGAGAATGGTCCAGGACGGACCGAAACGTCGTCGTCCCTTCACTTTCTAGTGTGTGGTTTGGTCAACAATCCTCATAACTTTGCATTTGGCTGGGTTAAACTCTAACAGCCATAAATTCAGACCACTTCTGGAGCGTGTCCACAGCCTTTTGCAACGTATCGAAATCTGTCCCCGACTCCCCCTCACTAGTTTTGCATCATCAAAAAAACACTGATATAAAGGAGCCAATTTTTTCTCAGGTCTTTGTATATATTAGCAACAGGATGGGCGCTAGAAGCAATCCTTGTGGTACTCCAGTCTGGTATCTCTGCTCTCACTCTAACCCTCTGCTTCCTTCCTGAGAGGTACTCTCTGACCCACCTTACAGATACACCAGCTTGCTTCTCTAGTTTGAGTAAGAGTCTCTCTTACGAGACAATTTCGAATGGTTTCTGACAGTCGAGGCATGTGGCGTCTGTCCGTCCTTCTCTATCTTGTTTGATTTGTTTCATCTTATAGAATTCCAGCAAGTTTGTCTAGTAGGATGAGGATGTGTGTGTGTGTGTGTGTGTGTACTCACCTAATTGTGCTTGCGGGGGGTTGAGCTCTGGCTCTTTGGTCCCGCCTCTCAACCGTCAATCAACTGGTGTACAGGTTCCTGAGCCTACTGGGCTCTATCATATCAACACTTGAAACTGTGTATGGAGTCAGCCTCCACCACAGCCTGGTGTGTGGTGTGTGTGTGTGTGTGTGTGTGTGTGTGTGTGTGTGTGTGTGTGTGTGTGTGTGTGTGTGTGTGTGTGTGTGTGTGTATAAGCAGGTAACCCAACACCGTCCTCTACCTGGGCCAGGACCCAGGTAGAGGGGGGGCGCGTCGTGGACTGTGGGACATTGTCAAGAGTGTGGGAACACGGGCCGGCAGGTGCGGTAGAGGCCCGTGTCCCCATCAGCGTGACGGCCCGGGCGTGTAGCTACCCTCCGCTCCTGTAAGCATCGTCGCCTCGGAGGAGGACGCAGCGGCCAAACACGTGAATCTTACGGCTCGTGTTGGTCGTCAACTTCCTTCTTTAGTTGCCGTTAGTGTCAGTGGTTGACTATCGGCGCCATTACCCGCTACAGTCCTTCACCTTGTTAGGCTCCAGCTCTTGAGCTTGGCTCTTTTTCAGCGGATTTACGCGCAAGAAAGCCAGATGAATACACGAGACGACGAGCGAGATAAGCGCCAGGAATACTGTCTCTCCGGCAGGTGTAGAGACGGCCGTCTCAACACCTGCCGGACCGTCTTGTTCACCTGTGTTAATTACTGTCACCTTAACCACCTCCTCAGCACGGCAGCTGTTCTCTTTCAGGGATAGAGGCGTCCCAGCATGGGATAGGGGCGTCCCAGCATGGGATAGAGGCGTCCCAGCATGGGATAGAGGCGTCCCGGCATGGGATAGAGGCGTCCCAGCATGGGATCGAAGCGTCCCAGCATGGGATAGAGGCGTCCCGGCATGGGATAGAGGCGTCCCAGCATGGGATAGAGGCATCCCAGCATGGGATAGACGCGTCCCAGCATGGGATAGAGGCGTCCCCGGCATGGGATAGAGGCGTCCCAGCATGGGATAGAGGCGTCCCAGCATGGGATAGAGGCGTCCCCTGCATGGGATAGAGGCATCCCAGTATGGGATAGAAGCGTCCCAGCATGGGATAGAGGCGTCCCAGCATGGGATGGAAGCGTCCCAGCATGGGCTAGAGGCGTTCCAGCATGGGATAGAGGCGTCCCAGCATGGGATAGAGGCATCCCAGCATGGGATAGAGGCGTCCCAGCATGGGATAGAGGCATCCCGGCATGGGATAGATGCATCCCAGCGTGCTGAAGGAACAATTCGCTCATCCTGCAGTTGTTAGAGTACCCTTAGTTGTTCAGTAACAAGGTCTATGCTGGTGGTCACGGGTCATCCAATATGTCCCAGACACACTGCTGATAACTTAGACATATTATAATCTAAAAGTAAAAAGTCTACCACGAATGAAAAGCAAAGTGTTTCTCACCAGTGTGGAGGCCGGAGGCGGGAAGCAGAGTCAGAGAGGAGAGCAGTAGAAGTTGACGTAGAGTGTCCATTTTGGTGGTGGTCTCCCTCACACCATCATCTGCCTGGATGCTGCGTCTCTCTCACACTCCCACATACACCCACGCCCGGTACAGCTTCACCTACGCCCGGTACAGCTTCACCCACGCCCGGTACAGCTTCACCCACACCCGGTACAGCTTCACACACACCCGGTACACCTTCACACACTTTCCAGTACAGCTTCAAACACTCCCAATACACCTTCGCCTCAGGTCCAACATGAAGCCTTGAGACTGTATGTTCGGGGCTTCACTGCTTCACTTGACGGTTCATTATGTCTGTCTTCCTTTCATCACGCTCCGAACATTGGGCTCCGGCACTGCTTACTAGTCTTCACTGACAGCACAGGTAACTGTGATCCTATTCCACTTCAACTCTTCCAATTTTCCTATTTAGGGCCCTGAATATTTCGCTTGAATCAACCTGAGGTTCGCGGTTCGCTGAGACTTGACCTCTCACTCGCCAGATATCGCCCTCGTCATCTGAGAAAACAAAAGATAGTGTAAGATATCTTACGATCACAGGGGATATATATGCACTAAGAGAGAGTACTTAAGTACTGGGTTATATTCAGGATTAAACTATACTTGCTGGTTGGTCAGTGAATTGTTGTAGTGGCCCTTAATGACCCTCCAGAGGTTGATAGTCGTTCTTAACTACAGTGCCACACCAAACCCATCCCATCCTCCTGTATATGTACCATCCTACATATTGATGTAATGAACATTTAGAAAGTAGAAATCGGTACTATTGAATTTGGACAAATTGGGAAAAAGTTTTGTATTAATGTTGCTGATAAAAACCTCACCTAACCTAACCTTCCTAAAGCCTAATACATACATATCTGGGCCCTAATATAGTACATATATGTACTATACTAGGCCTAGGAATATTTAAGTTTGGTGTTGGTATTTTCCAGATTCTATAGAAGTGAATAGTACCAAATTCTAGTAATTGTCCAATACGTCAATATATGGACGTTGGCGCATATAGTTACTAAAAGTACTATGTATGCAGGAGGATGGGTTGACCAGGTCTTTGGGTCATATTAGAGGCAGGTGTGGTAGGGGCAGGTGTGGTAGGGGCAGGTGTGGTAGGGGCAGGTGTGGTAGGTGCAGGTGTGGTAGGGGCAGGTGTAGTAGGGGCAGGTGTAATAAGGGCAGGTGTTGTAGGGGCAGGTGTGGTAGGTGCAGGTGTGGTAAGGGCAGATCTCATAGGGGCGGGTCTTGTGGGTCCAGATTCGACAAGGACTTTGAAGGTGGGAACAGTTAAATGATAGCACAACAGGTATAACTATGCCAGCAAACAGGGCACAAAGAACAAGCCCGCAGTCCCCCGTATTCTGATTGGTCAATACCAACGGGTAGGCAAGAGCCGATAGGTAGGTAGAAGTGATGGGTAGGCAAGAGAGGTGTGCGTGGGCGTGGACGGGAGATGTGACTAGCGTGCTGTGTTTGTCCAGTGATGGCAGCGTGAGCTTCTCCTGATATTACGATAACACAATGTTTATACTCGAGCAACCCCCCCCCCCCCTCCCCGCCCGTTCCTTCTCTGTAATGAGCAGCAGCAGCAGCAGCAGCAGCAGCTCGCCAGCACCAACAGCACGGTGACTCACACGAGAGTTCGAGCATCGTTTGGTCAACAAGGACAGAGAACAGATACAGAAAGCCATCGCTAATGAGTTATGACCGCGGGGACGTGTGTGTGTCGCAGGCGGGCATGCGCCGACACGAACATGGGCGTGCGGACGTGCGGCGACACGAACATGGGCGTGCGACGAGATTGTAGCGTCGACGACAGTCTCAGAGAGATCTGGATATGTACATTTGAGTGGGAAGATGATGGTGGTGATGCTGGTAGTGGTGGTGGTGTTGGTAGTAGTGGTGGTGGTTGTGGTGGTGGTGGTGATGGTAGTAAAGATGGAGGTGGTGGAGCTTGCCTATCTGTAACTACCTTGGAGTGAGGTCCAGCTCCTGGGGCCCCGCCTGCTGGGCTTGTATCTATTACGTTACATTGGGTCTCGGTAGTTCAGTTGGCTTCACTCTTGGCCAATTCATTAGTTTCGCGTCGCGTATAAACGTTAACATATATTAGCTCACTATCTCGGGCAGGTCATTCACATCAATTATCAACGATCCCAACCCTGATGAACCCTGAGGAACCCTGAGGAATCCTACGTGTCACGTCCATCCAACTTGAGACCTCACTTGTGACTGTGATCCTCAGTTTTCCGTCCTGCCGGTACTCCTTTACCCAGTTATTCCATCTTGCACCACCAGCCTTTGATCACACACTGTCTGGAAAGGTTTTGACAGACTAGGAAGATACAGTCTAATTCACCAGACTACTCACGAGAAGGTGAAGGGACGACGACGTTTCGGTCCGTCCTGGACCATTCTCAAGTCGATCCTTGAGAATGGTCCAGGACGGACCAAAACGTCGTCGTCGTCCCTTCACCTTCTAGTGTGTGGTCTGGTCAACATACTTTAGCCACGTTATTGTGACTCTGCTTCATTGTCGTTCTCTGTGAGAGTTTCTCCTCCGTGTTTCTGTTCCATGTTTTTAGCAGTAAATAGGTACCTGGGTGTTAGTCAGCTGTCACGGGTTGCTTCCTGGGGGTGGAGGCCTGGTCGAGGACCGGGCCGCGGGGACACTAAAAGCCCCGAAATCATCTCAAGATAACCTTCTCTCCTGATCACGTGGTCTCCTACTGTTGTCTTATTCCTTATGAGTCTATGCAACAGATTCCATTGATCACTTAAATTTTACCACAATGGCCTTTACAAAATTCTTCTCAGCTTGTCTGCTGTTGTTGTTGTTGTTTAAAATTTAGCTACTCAGAACGAAATGTACATGTAGCACGGGCTATGGTGAGCCCGTAGGATTTGGACTTGCCTGCTGACTCGGGGGGTACATATGTGTGACTCTCTGCATCTCATCACTGTTGTTCTCTGTCCCCATCTTCTCTGTGCCTGTTCCATGATTTTATAGTCTCGCCTTCTCTCGTCTCCACTGACTGTTGAACCAGCGGGTACCTTTCCTCGTCCATCGCCTCATTTGCTGTCTTCCCTTCTAGCTCCCTCTTCCACTGGGTTGGATAGTGGTGGTGGTGGTGATTGTGGTGGTGGTGGTGGTGGTGGTGGTAATTGTGGTGATTTTGGTGGTGGAGGTGATTGTGGTAGTGGTGGTGATTGTGGTGGTGGTGATTGTAGTGGTGGTGGTGGTGATTGTGGTGGTGGTGGTGGAGGTGGTGATTGTGCTGGTGATTGTGGTGGTGGCGTTACCTCTGGCCTAGATATAAGAGCCGCCTGTCAATTACGTCCAGTGAGAGACAGACATACAGATAGGACAGATGGTGGTCGTCCCTAGAGGTGACGGGAGGCCTAAGCACAGCCTTATCTACTGTCAACCCCGTCCCCCAGACCCGTCATACTTGTGGACGGGTCCGGGAGGGCGGGACTCCTTCTCTGTAATATCATTATATTATATCGTCGATCAGTAATATATTTGAGAGTGGAATTCTGCCTCCGCTGAAGCGCCCTCTTGTGAATACCTACATATGTGACTGTCTAACATACTCACCTATTTGTGCTTGCGGGGGGTCGAGCTCTGGCTCTTTGGTCCCGCCTCTCAACCGTCAGTCAACAGGGTGCATAGGATCCAAAGCCTATTGGGCTCTATCATATCTACACTTGAAACTGTGTATGGAGTCACGTGTGTGTGTACACATGTACGAGTACCAACATGGAACAAGTGAAGATCATTCCTAGGGAATGGTATACGTGGTACAACGCAGATTTTATAACCAGGCATTTTTTCTTAATATATTCATTAAATAAATGATATTCTAGGGCAGTCAGGCAAACAGGAAAACAGTTCTTAGCTTGTTCTTTCATGAGGAAGAACAGCACCATTCCTAATGGTGTTACCCCTACCACACCTGCCCCTTCAACACCTGCCCCTACCACACCTGCCCCTACAACACCTGCCCCTACTACACCTGCCTCTACCACACCTGCACCTATCATACCTGCCCCTACCACACAAGTCTCGGTTAAAAGAAGGGCGGAAGAGAGATTTTAGTTTTAAAAACCAAATAATAAATATATATTTAATCACATGTGCCACACACACACAGGAGACACCGAGCTAATGACTATTATTGACAGTCAATCGTTCCTGGTGTGTTCCCGGCAGTAAACGCGTTGGAGCGACCATATCAGTGTAGGGAGTCAGTCGTCCGGTGGGTGGAGGCTGAGAGTGTTCGCTAGCTGTTGGCGCTGAGGTGAAGTGACGTTATCTCTGTTATCTGTCTAATCCTGACGGAAGGCTCGGGCAAGATCACACCCCGTGTGCTCTTACTCATTATATTCTCTTTCATGATAGCTGAGTGTTTATATTCATGTGTTGAGTGTAGACTCACTCACTCTCTCTCTCTGTCTGTCTCTCTCTCTCCGTGAGAGCTGTGAGAGGGCGCTGGCCGCCGCCGTCTACTCTTGTCCCTTCCTCTACACCCCCTTCTCTCACCTGCCCCCTCACCTCTCTCACCACCTTCCTCACGTAGGAGTCCCTCCTATAACCCCCCCCCTCCCACATTCCCTGAGAGCCCCATCACCCCTCTCCCCTTCTTCATCTCCTCCCTCCCCACCTCTTAAACCTTTATCCTTTTATTCCATTCCCCTCTTTATTTACTCCTCCACTCTGCTCCCCTCTCTTTACCCAGCTCTCAGTAAGCGTCTACACGACCATAGTTGCCAGTGCTTTACCTGTGGTGTGTTTCGAGGGTTTTTTGTCCTCTAGAAGCCAGATTTGATCGTCACTTTTCTCAAGGTCTAGAAAATTAATTGTACCAAACGTGGACACTTGTGTGGTACAATGGTCCATGCTATGTGGTACAACGGTCCGTGTTGTGTGGTACAACGGTCCGTGTTGTGTGGTACAACGGTCCATGTTGTGTGGTACAACGGTCCATGTTGTGTGGTACAACGGTCCATGTTGTGTGGTACAACGGTCCATGTTGTCTGGTACAACGGTCCGTGTTGTGTGGTACAACGGTCCATGTTGTGTGGTACAACGGTCCATGTTGTGTGGTACAACGGTCCATGTTGTGTGGTACAACGGTCCATGTTGTGGTGTGGGCTCCAGGTCTCATAACGACTCAATTATCGAAATATTAACTACATAACAAGAGCGGTAAAGCCACTTTGAACATTACAGTCATTAAACAGTCCAGTGTTCAGACTGCCTTACACTCCAAGCTCACCGTATATGGTGCCTGATCCATCCCACTGTTGCTATTCGCTGTTGGTTATTCGACCCAGTTAATCACCCGTGTTCACGTCAGCCCCCACAACCGGAACTAATGTTTTAAAGCGACCACAGTACCGCTCCAGAGAAAGTTTAATTGAAGATATATTGCTGATTGGTTATCTTCATGGTAATGCTGATTATCTAGAGTAATATATCAAGATCTCTCTCTCTCTCTCTCTCTCTCTCTCTCTCTCTCTCTCTCTCTCTCTCTCTCTCTCTCTCTCTCTCTCTCTCTCTCTCTCTCTCTCTCTCTCTCTCGAACAGAGATTTCGGGGCTTTACGTTCGAACATTCGAACGTTCGAACATTTCTCGAACAAGTGCTTCGCTGACAACCTCTGTTCGAATTGCGACGCTGAAAAAACTTCACTCGCGTACTACAAATACAAATAATCGCCAACAGAACCTAACTTATGCCTAAATGTATACCAATATACTAATAGATAATATTATTTTACATTTGAGAACATTCCTGTATTGAATGAACAGCCTTGTTAACATTAGTGTGTCTTGGGGGTCGGCCGCTGGGTGGCGTGGTCACAGAATGTAAACAAAACAAAAATCAATAAATAAACGGGTGGTTTGGCGACTGTTTTAACGAGCATTTGGCTATTGTATAAGCGATTGGGCTGAATTACTTGTATTTCAGCTACGTGGACGAAGTATTATGTACTGTTCAATGTTTATTATATTATGCACTGTTATTATTTATATTATGCACTGTTTCCAATGTTCGAGATGCGCTTCGAACATTGGAAATGAGTGAAGCCTTTGGCCCGTGTTTGGAGAGCGAACCGTGATGAACCACATCGAGGCTTCGAGCGATATGAGCGAGCGAGGTCACTAGTTAGGATGACCTCTGACCCCCTCTCACTTTCCCGGGTCATGTGAGGTAGTGTAGGTTGTTCTGTGATGGCTGTCGTGGGAATATATTAAGTGTGACTAAATATCGCGAGTGCCGGGGTAAGAGAAGCAAGTGTTTACAATTCTAACGACCAAGTGTTCTAATGTTCGACAGTTGACAAGGAGGGGGGGGGGTAGAAATAGCCTGAGCTACTCTATCCCTTTCTTGCTTATCTCAATAAACATACTTGAACGTGTTGACAAGGACTTAGAAGTGCTGTTGAGGTGTCAGTAAAGGATGAGAACAGGGCAGGAAACTCCGCCACTTCTGTACGTGGGTGTGACCCAGACAGTGTTGGGTCACTCACTTACGTCTTCAAGACGAAGGTAAGGAATTCCTTCATCTCAAAGAGTCACCTGAGTGGTATATAGATGTTCATTAAAATGTAATCGTTTCTGTGGTTTTGTATAATATTGTTGACCAGACCACACACTAGAAGGTGAAGGGACGACGACGTTTCGGTCCGTCTTGAACCATTCTCAAGTCGACCAACTTGAGAATGGATCGACTTGAGAATGGTCCAGGACGGACCGAAACGTCGTCGTCCCTTCACCTTCTAGTGTGTGGTCTGGTCAACATAATTTAGTCTCGTTATTGTGACTCATCGTCTGCATATAATAATGGTGTATAAGAATTTGTGTATAAATGCATTTCACTAAAGTTTATTAATGTACCTTTCTTGTCATTACAGGTAAGAATTTTCAGATCTTCGCGGGACAGAAATCCACTAATTTTGAGGTAAGTTTCTGTTCCCTTGTTTCCACTGGAATTATCTTCGAGGTCTAACGACCCCAGGAGTGTGTGGGAGGTGATCAGCATAGTCGGACGTGCTATAATTACTATTGTGGAGACTTGTTTGTCATGGGTGTGCCCCGCCCTCGGCCTCGGCAACACGGAGATTCAACACTTTGTGCTTCACGAGTGATGTTACTTAATAAATTGTTATATTATTATGATGGCCGGTAATGTAAGTGTCAGTCGTAAGACTCGCTTCACAAAGTACCCTCAAGTGTAAAGGTATTATTAAGTAGCATTAAGCAAATTCTGCGACGTAAAGTGACAGTAAAGTGCGGGCTGAGTGACAAGTGCAGGTGTATCTGAGCAGGTGTACCTGGGCAAGATGTTACACACCTGAAGACGTGGCAGGAGGTTGAGGCGCCAGGCAGGGGGGGAGGGGGAAGGGGGATATGGCACAATAGACGAATTCGAACAGAAAAAAAACAGGGGCATGTTGACTGATGGAACTGGACAAATTGCAGAGCAGCTCGTGGTTACAATATCTGCACGGGACGACGGTGTTGCAAGGCGACAACTGATTAATGCTGAGTCAGATGTGATACGTCTTGGACAGGGATAATAGTGGAGAGGTTAGAGGCCAGCTGAGACTTGCTGCTTGCCCCTGGAGGCTACAGTGACAGGTGAGGTGCAGTGACAGGTGAGGAAGTCCGTCAAAAGTCGCCGGTAAGGTGTCGGGGTGACGTGAATATGTCTGGGAGTAGCGAGGAGATTTGATCGACGACCACAGGGAATTATTTCTGGATTTTTGAGAGGTCTAACCAGTGGGAGGCTCGATTGGAGTGGAGTAGACTGGAGTCAGAACAGGATGCGACAGAGAGCTCCTGGATCTCCAGGATGGGAGAACAACTGAAGATTGAGAGAACTCTGTACAAGTTGAGTAATGAATGAGGTCTGTATACGGGCTGTGTATACAGACCGTATACAGCTGTAAACGGGCTCCAGAGGGCCAATCTACCCGAGAGCGTGTGCCCAAGTGGGCATTAATCGTCTACTAAAGTGATCTTCCCCGTGCCCATGTAAAGCAAAATGCTAGAGAGGAAAAAATGAAAACGAGCATAAATTAATTTGACATTTGCTGCCGATATATTTGATGTCAGGCGTGTGTGTGTGTGTGTGTGCGTGTGTGTGTGTGTGTGTGTGTGTGTGTGTGTGTGTGTGTGTGTGTGTGTGTGTGTGTGTGCGTGTGTGTGTACATGGATTTATTCAACTTCGTAAATCTTTTTATTCAGTAGTCAAATGATGCTTCGAGAATTGCATTTGAAGACTGAATGTTTTCTCATAATATCAAGATTTGTCAAGCACGCCATTGGTTTGAGAAATGTAAATGCCTTTTGTAAACAAGTTTTAACATTTTCACTTTGACTTTAAAAGCTTTTGCTATCAAACATAACATTAGGTCCTTGTAAAATAGTGTTCCAGTCAATTAAATCAATTTTATACCTCCATCAGAGAAGAGATGGTACAAGCAGAGGGGAAGTGGAGAACGGAAACAAATGGGCAGCGTTTCTTTCACCCTGATGCCCCTATTCACCTAGCAGTGAATAGGTACCTGGGAGTTAGACAGCTGCTACGGGCTGCTTCCTGCAGGGGTGTGTAACAAAAAAGGAGGCCTGGTCGAGGACCGGGCCGCGGGGACGCTAAGCCCCCGAAGTCATCTCAAGATAACCTCAAGATAGCTGGTTAGGTTAGGAAGATATGAAGAGTGAGGTGTGGTGAGAGGGAAGGAGGTATTATGGGGGGGGGAGATTGTGGTACAAACTACCATTGTAAAAAATACAAAAAAATACAAAAAAATACAATAAAATAGGCCTAAGTCTAAAATTCTAGTTTCTCTAAGAATACAAAACTATTGGCCAAGTATTTAAAATTAATAAATCAGACAATATAATACAGAATAAACTTCTTGTATTTCGTATGACTAAAAACTTTAGAATGTCGAGAATTTTTCTTCTATCTTCAAGAAAATGTTTGTCAGAAATACAAATTTAACCAAAAAATTACACTACATATTTTTTAATTGTAAATAAATAAAAAAATTTAACTGATTTATTAAACTAAAGACGATTTGAATAAATAAAATATTCAGTTGAATCAATATATGTTTGTATCGTGACGGAACTTAATGAAAATTTCAAACAACAAAAGTTTCCAAAGTCAACTTACCATTAGTAAACACAAAATATGAACTTATTTTCCGAAATTCTATAACAATCCACTATATACGTAGTTCGTAAATATATAAATAACAACAATTTAAGACACTGGTTTCGTGAATAAACTCAGAGAAATAAACTCTCTTAACTTGCGCGCGAGTGACCAACGAGCGGTCGCGACGGAGACGCGGAACTTGACGCCCTCACCCTCTCACTCCCGGGAGCACACTGATGGAGTCTCCGTGTCTTCCCTGGGGTACCACCCGCCACACACGCGCGCAAACACACACACACACACACACACACACACACACACACACACACACACACACACACACACACACACACACACACACGCGCGCGCACACATGTTGATGCCCATCTACACCGACCTTGCTTCTGGCAGGGTCGGTGTTCGAACCCCGGTGATTTAAGTGGTTGGGTACCATTGCTTTATACCCTGTGTCTTCGTGTCCCCTGCTTGCCTCTGGCAGCCACTCCTGCATTTTTAGTTACTCGACGCTTTTTAAATTTTCACGATGGATTGTTGTTGTTTCAAGCGTAGGTGAGACGTGTATGAGTGTGGGATGACATACTGAGGGCTGCCTTCTCTGGGCCAATGATCTTTCTGCACTTTCCTTTAGGTTCTATAAGGAAAAACAAGGAGGATATCTTCGTCTCTTGGGATGGGGGTGGGGGAGCCTAGCGATACCACTAATGTTATATTGTAAACACAGTTGAACAATTTCACAAGGGCCGTGACGAGGATTCGAACCTTCGTCCGAGAGGAAATTCATTCAAACTCATTCTCTAACGAGTTTCCTTCAAGAGACAGCAATACCAATAATGTTTTTTAATAGTAGCAAAATTAGCAATTGTGGTAATGTTATTTATTGATATTTACCAAATTATAACAATATTGAGACAAGATTTCCCACCAAGTATCTTAATGTCCACCTGTTCAGTACCTGCACCTATATTTAAATATATTATTATATATTTATATAAATATATAATATTATATTATATTTATATATTATATTTAAGGTGCTGTACTGTACTTAAGGTGCTGGTGCTGTACCTCCGCCAGCACTCCAGCCTTCCAGCAGTGTCAGGCTTATTACTTGGCATTCCAGGACGTTCAAACCTTCAGTACCTGAAGATTTACGGAAGTTCCAGACTTCTAGGAGGTCAAGGCTTTCGGAGGCTCAGTCTTTAAGGGTGTCTAAGCTTGAAAGACTGGATCACTGGAGGTGTGGAGAACGCAGGTGTACTGGCGAGGATTTCCAGTTGTCAGTGAGATGGAGTAGTGTGGAGAGGGACCTGGAGGCCAGGGCTTCCAGTTTCCAGTGAGCTGTAGTAGTGTGGAGAGGGATCTGGAGGCCAGGGCTTCCAGTTTCCAGTGAGCTGTAGTAGTGTGGAGAGGGACCTGGAGGCCAGGGCTTCCAGTTTCCAGTGAGCTGTAGTAGTGTGGAGAGGGACCTGGAGACCAGGGCTTCCAGTTTCCAGTGAGCTGTAGTAGTGTGGAGAGGGACCTGGAGACCAGGGCTTCCAGTTTCCAGTGAGCTAGAGTAGTGTGGAGAGGGACCTGGAGACCAGGGCTTCCAGTTTCCAGTGAGCTAGAGTAGTGTGGAGAGGGACCTGGAGACCAGGGCTTCCAGTTTCCAGTGAGCTAGAGTAGTGTGGAGAGGGACCTGGAGGCCAGGGCTTCCAGTTTCCAGTGAGCTAGAGTAGTGTGGAGAGGGACCTGGAGGCCAGGGCTTCCAGTTTCCAGTGAGCTGTAGTAGTGTGGAGAGGGACCTGGAGGCCAGGGCTTCCAGTTTCCAGTGAGCTAGAGTAGTGTGGAGAGGGACCTGGAGGCCAGGGCTTCCAATTTCCAGTGAGCTAGAGTAGTGTGGAGAGGGATCTGGAGGCCAGGACTTCCAGTTTCCAGTGATCTAGAGTAGTGTGGAGAGGGACCTGGAGGCCAGGACTTCCAGTTTCCAGTGAGCTAGAGTAGTGTTGAGAGGGACCTGGAGGCCAGGACTTCCAGTTTCCAATAAGCGAGTGCTGGAATGGCCGGATAATAACCTACCTGCCCAAGCTGCTGTTAGGGCCGGGGGATATAGGCGTTCCAGGGATCTCTTGCGTTCTACCTGCAGGTTCTTGGGGCTTATGGAATATCAGGCGGGCCTCAAGCTGGAAGCGAAGCATCAACTCAACAAAAGCAAAACAGCTTTAAAATTCTCCTCACACTGCAAATGTGTATTTTGCATCGTAAAAGAACTTTCTAGCGGGACACTAAGAACTACACACTACAATATTTGAACTGGACTAAAGAGTACCGGCAAAGACCTTATCGTTTCTAAGTATTGTTGGCCTCTAGTACCTACCTGGAAGCTGGAAGTGTCATGTGACTACAATATGATGATAAATGGTTCCTTGAAAGTGGTTGTTCCGCCAACCTGACCGCTAAGTGGCTGCTGGTCGTGCTGCAGCCTGGAAAGCCTTATTCCAGGTCTCCAAGGAAATCTGGAGCGCCAGGCAGCAATTACTACACCCGGCATCTGGAATATGCAGCCGAGACGTCAGTTATCCTGGAGCGTCCTTACCTAACACTACTTACCTATCAGTGTCGACGAGGGTGTCGGGTCTAACTCTGGATGTTTTAATGTGTGCATCTTTTTCTATCTTTTTTTTCTTTCTCTCCGTCTAAGTGGTTGGGCACCTTTCCCTCCCCCCCCCCCTGTCCCATCCCCAACCCTTATCCTGACCCCTTCAAGGGCTATATAGTCGTAACGGCTTGGTGCTTTCCCCTTGATAGTTCCTTCCTTTTCTCTGTCTCTGCCTTGAGGTTATCTTGAGATGATTTCGTTTTTTTTTTTTTTTTTAGTGTCCCCGCGGACCGGTCCTCGACCAGGCCTCCACCCCCAGGAAGCAGCCCGTGACAGCTGACTAACACCCAGGTACCTATTTTACTGCTAGGTAACAGGGGCATAGGGTGAAAGACACTCTGCCCATTGTTTCTCGCCGGCGCCTGGGATCGAACCCAGGACCACAGGATCACAAGTCCAGTGTGCTGTCCGCTCGGCCGACCGGCTCCCTCTATCTCTCTCTCTCTTTCTCTTTCTCTCTCTCTGACCCAGTGCCATTCCTAATGACCCTTGTTTAAGGTTTAAACCAATTCTTAAAGTTAGTTCTTGGTTATCTAAGACACTCCAGTTCGACACATCACATTGCTATCTGGTAATCTCTACAGCCTCCCCAGCTAATTAATATATCGTCTGAAGGCGGCCAGGCATCAACATTGACGCGGATAAGACTGGCTATCGGCTGTCTATCATCCCTCACGATAGCACTGCCCAGAACCACAGCCCGTCATTCATGGCGATAAGGAACTATATGAGACTGTTGATATCTTGCCCCGCCCTCGCCTCGCTATCTTAATTAATATTCCGAATTTTAAAATAAGTTTGTGGCGTCCTCTACACAAAAGGAGATTTTTTTCACGTTTTTTATCAATAGATTCGGAGCCACGTAAATCCCCGGGTGTGTCGCCCACACACACCGGGGCCTTAGTTGCTACTTTAAGAAAGATTTTTTGTTTTTTTGCTCGTTGCTCTTCATTATATATACGAACCGGAAGTACCCCGTGAAAGTTTATTATCTTGACAATCGCCGCGCCGTATTGTCTTAAGATATGCCAAGATCCCAAGTTCCCAAGATCCCAAGATGCCAAGATCCCAAGATACTAAGATCCCAAGATACTAAGATCCCAAGATACAAGGTCCCAAGTTCCCAAGATCACAAGATCCTAAGATACAGAACTCAAGATACAAGATCCCAAGATCCTAAGATCCCAAGATACAAGATCACATCTTCGCTATAACTTCCCAAGATCCTGCCATCATAAGATCGTAAGATAACGAGATGTGGACTTAAGGGCACACTCAATCAAATCCTTTTTTTTCCTACCTCCGGCTAATCCTCTTAAGTGGCCTACAAACCTTTGAAGTTCAGAATAGTTTGAAAAGTTAACCTGAAACTCGGTTTTTGTTCCATTTTTTTTGTAAATGAGTTTTTTTTGGTAGTGGAGCGGAGACAGGTTTATGTGGTGGCTGATACACCATTGTGAAGACTTTTGTTGTTTCTGTGGTTAAAATGGTTGACACAAACCCGGGCACAGGGCTGTGCTCGTCCAAGCTCGATCCCCCGCACAAACGTTATCAGTTACGCGTCGTGTGTCAAGTGGTTTTCTCCCATAAAAAGGAGGTTTGGTGACTGAATTTACAAGCATTTGACCAATGTTTATGAGGGGCTGTGTTTGTGAGGACAGACTGCTGGCATTATTATTGTTCCAATCAATTTATGAAACATTTGATTAAGTGACCGAATGAGCTGATAGCTGGATGTGATTATTTGGTCTTGGTGATAAGTTATCTAATTTAGCGTGTTCCATCCTAAATTGATGGACGTGGCGCGATAACTGGACACCCAACTACACCCCCCACAACATCCCCACACCCCCCACATCTCCCCCCACACCCCCCAAACACCCCCCACACCCCCCCACCCCCCCACCCCCCCCACACCCCCCCCCCCCCACACCCCCCGCAACATCCCCACACCCCTACACCCCCCACAACACCACCCCACACCCCCACTACACCCCCACGACACCCCAGTTTCCGGCCTGGTGAATTATCAGCTGATCTGTTGGCGTACGGTAGGGTGGGCGCCCGAGGTAGGGCGCCCAACCGCCCGTCCGGGTCCTCCCGCCTTCATAAACTACTGGGCGGGGGCGCGGGGTGGGCACACATACCCTACAAAAACGGGTCGAGGGTGCCCCCGCAGTCTGGCTTTTGAGCAGAATTGGATCATTTGTCGAGAAGGCTCGACTTGGAGACGGCTAGGAGATATGCGTGAGTTGGAGCGGATCAGAACGACGGCGTTCGTGAGTGTTGGATTTATATACCGACTTGCTAGGCGTTCAGGGCAGAAGAGTGCCGTTCGTGAGCGTGGATTTAGTGTTGTGGAACGCAGCGAGCAACGTGCAACAACTTTTGCGATATTTAACGGTGAAATAAGCACTTAAGTGTCGCGCAAGACTTGAGGTTAATGGTTGATTTTATTCATAAATGATTTGCACAAATCGCAGCAGTTGTGGCTCGGGTGAACAGCTGTGCAGATGTAAACAAAATTATCATTTGCGCTTGAGCGGCATATTGGTGCATCATTGTGCGTCAC